GGAGAACGGGCCGTATTCCATGGAGAACGGGCCATTCTGCTAGGAGAACGGGCCGTACTCCAAGGAGAACGGACCGTTCTGCTAGGAGTTCGGGTCGTTCTCCAAGGAGTACGAGCCGTGCTCCAAGGAGTACGGGCCGTTCTCCCTGGGAGCACGGGCCGTTCTAAAAGTGACCTTTTAGGCATTTTGATCAGACTAGAACGGCCTGTTCCAGTTTTGGAGCGGTCCGTTCCAGTTTAATTTTTTTCCACAGCGGGACTTTTAAGATTGGTTATAAAACAACCGATTTTAAAAGTTAACTTTTAAAATCAGTTGTTTAACCGATTTTAAAAGTCTAACTTTTAAAATCGGCTCTTTCAAGATCGGTTAAAGAACCGACTTTAAAAGTTAAAAATAACCGATTTTAAAACTCTTTTTTCCACTAGTGATTCCCATTAAGATAAAAATTTATTAGAATAATGAATATTAAAAATGATATTATAATAAATTTAATATTATTTTATTGTATTGTCCATTCTTCATCAAATAATATACAAAATAAAAAGGTGTTCAATAATTTGAACATTTTTCTTGTATTATTCTTTTTATCCTATATTTTAATTTTAATGTGTATCAAATGCATGCACCTTTGGATTATTTGGAGATATCTATAATTATTTTACCTATGGTGACTAAATATAGCTAAGTTAATTTCTGGACATTCTTTGGTGACTTAAACAATTACCATCCTTCTCCCATCTAGGCATGGCAATGGGGCGGGACAAGGTGGGGTAGGTTTTATGTTCCCCACTCCCGCCCTCGCAGATTTAAACCACTCTTGCCCCCGCCTCCGATATCTATTGGGGACAAAATCTGAGTACTCATCTTCGTCTCCGACGGGATTCGAGTTTCCCCGCCCCGCCCCTACCTCCACTCTTGGACCTTTTTTATTTTTGTTTTTAATAAATATGAAAAAATTTTAAAAAAAAATAATACAAATTTTTACATTCTTTTTTTGACCAAAATGCCTCTCAAATAGTTTAGATAATATGTAAGGGTAGTTTTTTTTAATTATATTATTAAGTGGGATGGGAGCAGGGACGAGACAAGTATTAACATCCTCGTCGCTGATTTTGTCAATAAAGAAAAATCCAAACTCGAACCCAATCAACACAAGTTTTCTTCGTTCAAATCAAAACGAATTTGAACAAATATCTACGAGACCGAATTAGAATGACATACCTACTCCTATCAGAGGAGGCACCTCTTCGAAAATAGATCCTCTTACTTTATAGAGGAAAAATTATGGTAACTTAATACATTTAAATTATTGAATTTGTAATAATAGATCAATTGTGACACGTGTATATTTAAATCAAAATATATATTATACACGTATCACAATCTAATTTATTTTTATAAATCTAATTATTTAAATACATTAAACATATGTTGTTGTGCACTGTTGCTAAGTGCTACCGCATAAACATATGGAAGTCCTACATTTAGTGCATCCGTCTACTATACATACAAAAGTTGTGCTTTGCGCAGGAGTGCAACATCCTTATTTAAATTAACTAACTATATTTATTTAATTATTTGTTATCTGAAAAGTAAACAATAATTTGTATGAACTAAATTCCTACGTGTGGTACATTGAAAACGTCCGAAAGTTTTCACTTCATGGAACTATCTCTCTCCCCCAAGATTCCTTCATTTAGTTACTTAATTTGATACTTATGCTCTTACCTTATCTTCTTAATGTACTTTCACCTTCTCTTTTATCATATTGTTATTTTATTATTTTTTCCCCTTTCCTCTGTCCATTTGAGCGAGAATGAAAATAATTTACGTTCATTCTTTTACTAAGTGTTACACTGCTTAATAACTTTATATTAATTGTGAATTTTGTAAATCTAATCGTTAGATTGAAAGTTCATATTTTAGTATATTTTAAAATGTATATATTACGTCAATTTTATTTTATGAGAATGAAGTATCAAATTATCTTAGTACGTCTATTTTATTTTATGAGAATGAAGTATCAAATTATCTTAGATTAATATAAAATTTGATATATATGATCTAAGACATATGAACTTTCAATCTAACAATTATATTTACAAAATTCACAATTAATATAAAGTTATTGAGCAGTGTAACACTTAGTTAAAGTTACACTAGTGTCGTTTGAACCCTTTATATATATATATATATACATTCAAATACATGTACTTTTATTTATTTATATGTTTTTATCACATCATGTGTAACGTTGAGCTTCTTACTATTTTTATATATTAGAAACACAAAAATAAAATAAATAGTAATTTTATTATTACTAATAAAATCAAGACACTTTGTACTTTTATATTTTATTTTAAAAATTAAAACAAAATAAAAATTGAGATTATTAAGTAATAAAGATAATTAAGTAATAAAAATAATAGAATGAATACTTATTAAAAAAGAATGGTAGTTACTAAAATAATAATTTTTTTTAATAATATAAAAGGTATATTAATCTATCAAATGTAAAGATTAAAAGTAATTATTAAAAGAAGTATTTCCTTTATCGTATAAATTAAAATATTATCATCTTATAATATAATTAGATCTAATTCATATCAGTTCAACTAACTAAAAAAAAAACCTTATTTATAGATAATAAAAAAAATTACAACTGAAAATTTAAAATGTTACATGTAGCATTAGTGCCACAAAGCTGCGTTTAGCACGGGCAGAAAATCCTGTATGAATAGATTTTCTAAGTCGAAATTCTCTACATGAATTAGAAGAAGATCCTTCACCAAAATATAAGTACTTGAGAATATCTCTGTACCAGTAGTTGACGATGATTGTTATCCGATATAACTCGCTACCAAAAAAAAAAAAAAAAAAACAAATCGATAACTCGATTTCCTGGAAGGATGATAAAGTTGAGTCGTTGAATGTTACAAATTAATGCTTGAGTTGCAGAACCTACCATTGTCAAGAACCACGTGATTAGTCGAAAGTTTAGGAAATTTCCTTTCTCATGGCCACACCTTTTTGTTGATCTAAATCACGATCCATGCATGCATGTAAGGCTACATGCACGTGTGAGGAATGAAAAGTGTTCTCTTTACCAACTCAAAAGCCAGCTGTGTGTTAGAAACATTGGTTTATGCAGACCTATGCAGACCGGACTTAAAAAGACCTAATCTAATTAATATTACTAGCATCAATAATTTGTTGGTACATTAATATTTTTTTTTGACATAATTACAAACCTTGTGGTTAGAATTTATAATGCAGGTTAAGAGGTTAACAATTTAGAGAGCATCAGAGCACACTAATAGAAATAATAGTATAATAATTGATATTAAGGGGGACACCGATATGCTTATGGATTGATTTACAAAAACTATATATAGTATAGAATGGTCTTCCATATAAATTAAATATGAAAACATTAAATATATATCCATAAACAAACATAAAAAGAACAAAACTATACATAGCCGTAAGTTCCGATGTATCAATCGTAGTGATGCCAAACATTAAACAATCATATACCTTGAGACCTGTTTCCTGCCAACAACTCAGTGAGAGAAGCAAAACTAAACAGAAACGTGAAGTGAAGAGTTTGAGAAAATAATGTTAATTGTAAAATTACTTGCACAGAATAAATTTATATTATTAAATTAATAAAACAAATATGTACTGAAGAGGAACAAACCCCGTGATTCCCGACTATATGGGGAAAACAAATCATATTATCTGTGTATTTTCTTAGACAGCCACGTGATGAGAACCATTGGATCTTTTTTGTTTTGGTGATGAGTTTGGGTGTGCATAGCATAGCATAGCCAGCACAGCGTCACAGTGATACAGATGCATCAGTGAACCCATGTATCACACGCACACACAAACACGTGCATGTCTATTCATTGATTTCTCACAGCAGTAGCCACTTGCCAGCTGGTAATTAACATTAATTTAGTTATAATTCTACGTATTTTGCAGTATGTTTTCATTAATTAATATTTTTTTTGTATAGAATAAATATATCTTCTACAGGAGATAATTTGATTAAACCAAATATCATTATTATAAACAGAAAAATTCTCTACTAAAGTAATTAGCATAACTTTATATTAATATACTTAAACCTAATATCACTAATTAATGAAAACAATCATACTATCTAAATACTTGATGATTTCTAATTGATACTTGTACGTATTGGGTAATTTTTTTATGGTGTTGTATATTGATTCCACCTATTTGGTACATATATTTATGGGACTATTTGGTACACACGTATTATATGGTACTATTCGAGTGCACTTGTCGGTTTACTTTAATGCTCGAAGAATTAAATCATTATTTATGATTAGTTTAATTTGACTCGCTTCAGAAGAACTGATCAAGAGCAGTCTAACTTTCACATTGTCAAAAAGAAAGGTAGAACAATTTCTTTGGACATATGTATTTCAATGCATATAAAAGTATAAACCTGTAAGCAACCAAATGATAGTGATCATGATGTGTAATTCAAAAACAAATTTATTTAAATAGATAAAACAAAACTTAGTTCAAGAAAAAAATATTAGCCAGAAAATTTTATTAGCACGATCTTAATTATTAAGTAAAATTTAAAATGAGTTCTGCCAACAATGTCTAATTAGTCTTGCTCTCTTTATAATATAATTCATATGAAAATAACCTAATTAATAACATAAAATGTGTTTGACAGAGAACATAATTCATAAACCCAAGAATCAAACCCATGTTTCTAATTTCCTGAAAACAAAATATTTTAGTGTACATCAGACATGGTCCACTGGTATAAAATACTAAAATGTCATCAGTTCATTTTTATTATAATTATATTTTATTAATTCTCACAAAAAGAAAATTGTTCCCTGTTCAAGTGGGAACAAAAAAAGATTTCATTCACATTGAACAATTAAACATATTCCTTGCATTGGTGTCCATGCATATTTAAAAATGAATATGCATCAACATTCTCACGATATATGAAACCATATCCTCGTTTACTCGTCTCACACAGGCATTGACTTAAGAGAGAGAGAGAGAGAGAGAGAAAGCTAGCCAAACAAGGAGCTCTAAATTCCATTTGAAGATCGATTTAGGGTTTTTATTAGCCTTATCGCATCACATAAATAGGTATAGTACTGTTCATCGTTTTAATATAGATATGACAGCGTTCATGTTTCTAGGTTCAATATTTAACTTCTTTTTTTAGTCTAAGTATGGGGGAGGGTGAGCAATAGGAAAAGAAGTATATGAAAATTTTTCTCAAAATCCTCAGTCCCGAATTATTCCTTTCTTCAATTAGTGGTTTTGATTTCACTAGTTTACTTGTATTCACACAATACTGATTATTTTCTTTTGTCTTAATCATATTACAAATCTTTAAGGAAAGAACAGCATAAAAGCTCGAACAGGATTTTGACTAGTGAAAGATATATGTAGTTTATGTACGTCGAAAAGAGTTGCATAAAGTTGAAAAATCAAGGTATATTTGAGGATGGGAGAAAGCCGTGTCTCCCAATGTTCCAAGACATGTACAAGCCCTTCTAACATTGATGAAGAAGAGTGTGAAAGCGAGGCCAATGAAGATCAAAGTAAGCAAAACAACAATGGAGGAAGCTCAAGTAACAGCACAGTGGAAGAGAGTGAGAAAAAGATAAGGCCTTATGTTAGATCCAAGTTGCCAAGGCTTAGGTGGACACCTGATCTTCATCTTCGCTTTGTTCATGCTGTTCAACGACTTGGAGGACAAGAGAGTGAGTTCCTTAATTATTTTGCTTTTGTTTTGGGTCTCAATTTTTCATAGTTGTCATCAATTCAGCAATTGGTCCAGAAACAAAAATTCAGTTTTTTTAATATTGATATTTTTGGACTTAGGAGCAACACCAAAATTGGTTCTTCAATTAATGAATATCAAAGGTTTAAGTATTGCCCATGTCAAGAGTCATTTACAGGTAATTATTAGATAATTCTTACCTAGACTTGTCTTTTTTTTTTTTCTTTTTTTTTTTTACAAATAAATTATTTAATATTGTTTACCTAGCGTGGCCTAGCTTGGTTTATTTCTTTCTTTTTCCCATTCTTTTTGCTAGATGTTTAGGAGCAAAAAGGTGGATGATCGAAATCAAGGTACAAGAAGTTTTCTCCATAAACTTTTCAATATCAATTACTACTGATTAGGGTTTCGGATTACAAACCCCTAATTAATCCCAACTTGATTATATATGACAGTATTTGCCGATCACAATAGTCTTGTTGAAATTGGAGACAAAAATGTTTATAATCTTAGCCAGCTTTCCATGATTCAAGGGTATAATCCGAGTCAAAGTAGTTCATCCTACAACTACCCGAATAATTATTCAAGGTTTGCTTCAAATTCTCTCTAAAACAACTATTGTGATATACAATCTTTCTTTTATTTTTAATTTCAAAACAATTAATTTCATCATTTTTTTTTCTTCTCTCACAGCTATAGATTCGGGGATGCTTCTTTTGGTGTCTACGAAAATGTGCTACAAAAACCTTTGGATTGGACCAATGGAATTTCTCGGGCAGGTTCATCCATTTTTGGTGAACAATCAACAAGTAAAATCTGTGAACCAAAAGATGAGTTTCTCTCATTTGGTGCTCATGATCAACCTCTAGGCACAATCACAAGATTATTTAGCCACGTTGATAACATGCAATCAAACAATATGCAACTTAGAGCACAAAATCTCATGCCTAAAAATCTACCACAATTGAAGACATTGAAAAGAAAGGTTCCAGATACAGCACCAGATTTGGATCTGTCACTAAAACTAAACTCAAAGATGGATTCTGAAGGAACCTTGGAGGACCACGAAGTAATTGACAGCAACCTATCACTCTCATTATGCTCTCAGTCCTCATCCTCTAATCATAGCATTAGGTTGAAGGAAGCACAAGATCGAAGTGAGGAACGCGGGAAAAGGGCCAGTACCCTAGATCTGACTACATGAATGAGACAAATTCTCAGTGAGATCTTGAGGTACTTGTCAGAAACTACGCATTTTATAACCATATTCTTACATTTATGTGATATATAGTTATATTTGTTTTCTTGTCTCTTTCTGTATATGTACTGTCAAATGCATGAACTAGCTAGCTAGATGAATCGTGATTTTAATTCCAGTATTGCCTTTGCTGTCATAAAACAGCCAAAAGAGAAAAATTAGTTACACAAATTAGAGATAAAAACCAAAGAAAGAGAAAGAAAAACAGAAGTCTGGTTCTGCACCCCAAGCTAGATCAATGATTTAGGAATAGATCCATTCATGCTTTTAATTATATTTTTTTTATCGGTAAATTTTTTAATAACGGTAACAACATTATAGCCTAATATTTTATTCATATTATTTCAACTCCTATTAGGTCTTAATGTTTTTTTAACTATCTTTTAGTATTTTATAACATTTAAAAATTTATGTTTAATTACTCTCTTTGTTATAATTTTATGAATTTTATCTTTTAATCTATATATGATTAAAAATATTTTATTTTAGTTTCTACATATATATTATTTGTGTTTGTGTTGTTTTCTAACTTCTATATTTCATAAACTTTTACATTTTTTCTCTTATAAAGTAATAGACATTATAAATGAAGTGAAAATAAAAATAATATATAGAGAGAGATTAAAATAAACATTTATGAGGAATAAAACATAACATTTATAATATTATAAAGAAAAAAAGGATAATTAAACTAAAATTTTATTTGAACTAAATTAATAATGTATTTTTAATATAATTATTTATCGAATTGATTTCAATGTTGGTTTCTTAATTTATAATGATATTGCATGCATCAAATAGTTACATCAACTATTAAAGGATTTTACTAACTTAATTACCAATTTATATTTTACAAAGATATAAAGTATTCTTTCACAAGTCACTTCTAGCTTAACCTAAGTGTTCTTTGAATTGCCTTTTTAAACAACTACCTAAGTATTCTTTGAACATAAAGCCTCTTCAAACTTTCTTTGCAAGTTTTGTCTCTTGTAACAATCTCTTAAAAAAATTTCTCTCTTGTACTAAATGGTTATGTAATGTCTTAAAGAAAATGATAGTTGTTTGTATTATCCTACAAGTTTTAAGCAAGTAGTTTAGATGGGAAACTTAAAGAGTCTTTGTTTTTTTTTTTTAAAATACTTGGGTTCATTAAAGCCTAAAGAGGCTTTGAATGAAACAATACTTAAGTAATTGCTTAAAGACACAAGTCAAAGGCTATTTAGGTTGAGCTAAAAATAACATGAAAAAAATCATTGTAGCTTTATAGTGGAACTTGATCAAAACTGAACACAGTCTTAATGATTGAGACAAATTATTAGTATAAAACCTTTTGTCTCCTTATTTTGTCTTACTCCCTTAGTCTATCTCTTTATATGCAGTGCTTGCAAAAAGTTGTTGAAAATTTTAATAGATACAATTCAACCCCTTTCTTGTGTGTGTTTTAATTCCACCACTTGGTATTAGAGCTTAGTCTTATACAAGGTTAACCATCTAATAATGCTAAAGGAAAAAAATCCTCATATGACAAATAATGAAGGGCAATATCTTTCAAAAGGAGCTTCTTTGAAGGTCTTCTACTTTCAATTAAGATTAAAAAAAATGTACATTAAGTACACCAAATACAACATATGGAAAATAATCATATATGGAGACATCCTAGTTCTCAAACCTGAAAATAATTTCACTTAAGAAGACTATAATGTATTACAACTTAACACTTAAGTTAGATACACCATAGCCTATTCACTATCCATAATTGAGTACAACAAGTTTTATAGTTGTAAAATTGCAAAGGAAATGTGGGACAATGTCAAAATAACTCGTGAAGGAACTAAGACGCTAAGCTCAAAAGAGCTATCACTCTTTAAAGACACTATGAGTTATTTTCCATGAAAGATGTTGAGACCATAAACAAAATGTTTGAAAGATTCCAAACTAATCTAAATGGTGTGAAAGCTCTAGGGATTGAGATCATAAGAGCTCAAAATAATCTTAAAATCCTTGACAGGTTTTCAGAGTTGTGGAAATCCAAAGCTACAACTATCTTAGAAAAGTGTACAAATGAGAAAAAGATGAAAAAGATTTTGATGGCTTCTTAAGAAGATCTAAACAACAATAGTAGCGATTCATACAATGAAAATGCTAACATATGTTTGATGGAAGATGCAGATGAAACAAACTTAAAGGTAAAACTAGTTTTAAAATATTTAAGGGATTTGTATAATTATTCAAAGAATATTTAAATATTTAAGAAAGAGATAAACAAAAGTTCATCTTCATATTTTAAGAATGACATAGGGTTAAAAAGTTAGCAAACTTGAAAAATAGTTTGTTAGAAAGTTGAAAGGGAGGATATAGTAGAATACAAGTCAACATATAAAAAGATTAAATATCTAAGTGGGGGAGTCAAAGGATTTTCATTATTTGTGGAGAAAAAAAAAATATACTAGAAGGAGGTTGAATAATGTCAATAAAAAACTCAACACTTCTTGAAAAAGTGAAGTAGTATCCATAAACCTCATAAGTGTAAACGAAGAGTTTAAGAAAAGAACACATAGTAATTTTATATTGATTTGTCTCAATCATCAAGATTACGTCCAATTCTTGATCAACCTAATCAAGTTTCACTATCTTTTACAAAGATATAAAGTATTCTTTCACAAGTCACTTCTAGCTTAACCTAAGTGTTCTTTGAATTGCCTTTTTAAACAACTACCTAAGTATTCTTTGAACATAAAGCCTCTTCAAACTTCAAGTAAGTCTATCAATAACTCATGCTTTAAACCAAGTTTCAACGATCCAATCATTAAATTTAAATTTCTAAATGAATAGATTAAATTTGCAAATTTAAAAAAATTTGAAAATCATTTGATACTTCATTTCGTTAATTTAAATCAATGTATAAAATAATTTTATAATTATCGGTCAATTTAAATTAATGAAATGAAGTATCAAATAATTTTTAAATTTTTTTAAAATTTACAAACTTAATTTATATATTAAGAATTTTAAATTTAACAGTTAGATCATTGAAATTTGATGTAAAACATAAACTATTGACCGAAATAAGTTTAAGTAGACTTACGCTCAGAATAAACGAATCCCTCATCTCTCTCTCTCTCTCTCTTATATATATATATATATATATATTAAAATTACATATAATATCTTTCAAATTTTGTGAATAAAAAAATATATGATTAGAAGGGATTTTGTTATAAATGGTCAACCAAATTTTTCAATAAAAAATAATTATTCATAAAATTAATAAATATTTCATATAAATACAATGATTATAAAAAATATAAAATAATCATATATGATACCATTAATATTATATTATTAACTATTTTCAATAGTAATAGTTTCTTTTAGTGCACCATGATTTCTTTTGCAAATTTAATATCACTATTTTCCCATTAAAGTGTGATATCAATTTGAAATAGAAATATTTTAAAACACTAATTAAATTAATTAACTTATCTTATTATTAAAATTTTAGTACATTCAATTAATATTTTCATGAATAATATATATTAATTGAAAGTCCTGAAGTTTTAATGATATGATAATGTTATTAATGTTTTTTAGTGTTTTAAACTATTTCAATTTCAAGTGAATATATATCATACTTTAAAGCAAAACTAGCGATATTATATTTATAAAATAGCATATTAAAGAAAATTAAAATCTCTATAGTTGACTTTGTGACTCAATGATGGAAGACTAGTATAATATATATAGAATTTTAAGTATGAACTCTACTACTATTATAATTCTTACTACTAAAAAATTGTTATTAAAGGAATAATAGTTGTTTTAATTATTCAAGAAAAACTATTTTTGGTAAAGGATATTTGTGTTACTAAAAATGATTTCATTTTAATATTGATTTCGTAATTTATTATGAACCATGAAATTGTTACTGCAATTAATAATGGATTTTTTTTTACTCAATAATGGATGGTTTTAACTTAATTATTAATTCATGTAAAAGAAAAACTTAATTATCATTTAGAATTCAGAATGAACATCTAGAGTCAATTTAATGTTAGAGATTAGAATGGTACACATAAATTTTTTTACTTAAATTTTATTATCGTTATTATAGTTTTAATTAAATAAAAATAAATTAAAACTTAAAATTTTGTATATATTAGCGTAGAAACACAAAAATGTTCCAATATCTTTTATTATAGTTATATATGTTCTAAATATTTCCGTTTTGGCTTCTACCTATTTTCCTTCTCAAATAATATTCAAATACAAAAAAAAAAAGACTCTAGCTATTTGAATGTTTATTAAAAAAAAAAAAAAAGAAGAAGAAGAAGAATACTGTATATTTTACATGTAAATAAATCTAAGGTTTATTTTTATCATATTTAATCTAATTTTCATTAATATTATAATTGTTTTCCATGATCAGATATGTTTATGAATATAATCGTAAAATAAATTATCGATCAAAGAAAGTGATTCATGCGTAAAATATACAGTATTTTTTAAAATGACAACTTAAAAATATCAAATTCTTAGAATTAGCAAAAGTTTGACGAGGGGATTATGATAAACGTCTACCGGCTTCAGTCTCGGATCAATCGGTGTTGAATAAGCATCCGTAATTAGGATATGTTTGAACAAATTCCTCTAAAAATATTTTTAAGAAAAGAAAATAATTAAAAAAAATTAAAATAAGATGGTAGGTAGCATATTAAATTTTAAATTTACAGATCGATGGTAAGTTTCTCGTAATATAAAAGTGGAAAATTCAGTAAGATGGGAAAACATATTCCAAGGTACTGTCCCTTTTGTCATTAGTGAGATTGTTATTTTTGTGTGTTTGTCCCTTTCGTTCCTATATTTAATTAATTAATCAATCAATTAATTACTTAATTAACTAATCTCACCGATAATGATAAGTATCACAAAAGGTTGGAGTTGGATTACTTGTTGGACATAGGCATGCAATAAAAAAAGATCTTCCGAAGGAAGATTTTATTTAAATATATTGCCATATAACTGGCTAGCTAGGTACAATGTTGTTATACATTGTATCCTAATCCTAAGGATGACTTGTTTCATAAGCACTGTTTGATCTTATTTAATGTAATTTCTTCGTCCAAGCTTCCTTACCCAAATCAATAGCACTCTCTCAAACTCTGTAACTCTTGCATCAGAGCCCAATTCAGACCTGATACCACAAGCATTTGCAATATTAATTAGTTGCAAATGAAAAATAAAATTGATATAAATAAATATTTATTAAATCATCATGCATGCACATGTTTATCCTGTACTGCTTCCTTCTGAATCATAATATTTTTATGTTTTAACCTCTCTTTTATTTCAATTTTTTTTTTTATATATTTTACATATTTCAAACAACATTAGTTACCTTTCTTTTTCAGATATATTCCTATTTGACAATCACTATTCATATTCTATACAACTACTCTTACTCCACATTTCCCTAGATGTTAAATGAAGGTGTTTTACACTTAACATACTAACATTAAATATTGTTTAAGGAGTACCATATGCAAAAATCTTAAACATAAAAAATTATAATTCAAAAGAAATAATATTAAATTATATTATCTTCATTCCTATTTATAAGACTCACTTGGAATAATTGTTTGTTCCTTTATATAAGACATAATTCTTAGTGTTTAATTTATTAATTATTTTTATTCTAAAATACTTTCAATTAAAACATGTTCTCTTAATTTGTTGGATTACATTAATTATAGATTTTTTAAAAGACATGTATTCTAATTAGTTAGAAGAGTAATTAATATTAATTATAAAAAAGAAATAGTGTATAACATACTAGACTCTAATTAAGAGAGATGTGTGTATTAATCAGGAGAGAAAGTAGTAGTATAAGAGTAGTTTTAGAAATATATTTATTGTTATTAATTACATTAACTATTTTTCATAATCATGATGAATTAGGTTTTTGAGTCTTATATATAAGAACAGGATAATATTTCATTCACTCACGCAGTTTAAAGTTTATATAAATAAATTAAAAATAACAGTAAATATATAATTTTTTGTATATATTTTTACTAAAATAGTTTACTTTTTCAATAAATGTATTACTTTAAATTTTAATGGTCAAATTATTTATGAAAAGATAAATTAAAAAAAATATTACATTAAAAATAAGAACATCATTTATTTTAAGATATTTTAAAATGCTAAAGTCATCATGTGACAAAAGAAATATTATCAATACTATTAATATATACATTATACAACTAAATTTTTTAATCTAGTGGTTGCAAGACTTATCTTAAAATAAAATAAAAAAAAGTCAATCTGATATTCTCATAATCAAATTTTTTAGTCTTGTATATATTTACCTTCTTTTTCAGCAATCAGCTTCCCAATAGCGTCGCATTGTGCTTTCATCATTGCATTCTCTTCAGCTAGTTTGTCGAAGGTAGATTCCCAGTAAACCAGTTGAGATCTAATCATTGAAACTTGAGCCTATAGTCCCAAAATAACGGACACCTACGTAAGACACATGCATATGTATATGCATGCATTCTAAAGTCCTCTAATATGAATATTTACAAAAGAAAGTGGTGAAATATTTTACATGCTTGAAGAAGGAATAATTTAAAAATGGGAAGTGAAGGTATTATGAACCAACGTTTAAGGAAGATACTCACTTCAAGGGACTCAACATGGCTCTTCAGAAGTTGAAGCCTGGCTAGTTTCCGGAGCCGATATCTCGCAGCATACACCCTGTTGGCCTGCATTCTGTATAAACCATGCATGTTATTATTCAAACTACCAAACATATATAAAAAAAACAAAATAAGCTGATATATATATATTTTTTTTATTTTTAATATATTTGAACTTTTGGGAAATTTTTAATTAATATATTTTTAAATTTAAAAAATTATAATTAGGTCTTTCATCTTTTCATATTTTTGTAACTCAATCCCTGTAACTAAAAATTTATTTTTGTAATTTGTGAAATTTTATAAAATATTTTTAATATTTGGATATCTGGACAACCATATTAGATTATTATTATATGTCATTATCCATATATATCAAGAATATTTTGTGAAACTTTATGAAATGTAAAAAAACTTCTAAACTTAGAAATTAAATTGAAAAATATAAAAAGATGAAGGGCTTAATTACATTTTTTTTAATTTCATAACCTAATTAAAAAATTCTAAAAAGTTCAAAGACCAAGTGATGTATTAAACTTTTTTTTAGTAAGTGAAATAAATACATATTCCTTTTTTATATTTGATCATGAATGAATAAAATAAAACACACGAATTATGAAAGCTTAATAAAAAAATCATATAACTTTTTTAAGTGGTAATGTGATATTAAATCTTGATAATTAATATAAAATGAGAAAAAACCTTGATACTATTTGTTGAAAATATCAGGAAATTAAACACTAAGGAAAACTCTATTAATGGTTATGAGCAAACACAAGAGTAAACTTGATAAACATTAATTAATAAGATGAAAATTAATTGATTTCTAGTCACATATTTTATTTTGATCATATATCATTAATCGATGTGAAATTTTTAACATAGATTACTTATATTAATGATCGAACATTTTAAGTGTGAAATTTATAAGAATAGACATCTATTAATAAGTTAGGAGCAAACCACTTACATGAACTTGGTAAAAACTTATTTATTAAGTTAGAATTATTTCTCATTTATATACTTTATTTCGACCATACCTCTAATTAATGTGGATTTCTAATACACTCATTTCATGTCAATGATTCAACATCTGGAGTGTGAAGTTTCTAAAACTATACATTTACATGTAATTTGATAATGATCCAATAGTAAATAACTCGATAGTCCTAACAATAATCATTGTGATACACTTTGATACCATTATAAAAATGTGAGATTGGATGTAACACAATCTTATATCAATGATTTATAAAGTAAAAATTCTTCCTACGCATATGCATTGTTTTTTTACTTTATTATTAATTAATGTGAGATCTCCAATATATTTTTCATGTTGAAAACTAAACATTTTAAATATAAAATTTATAAAATTAGACATTTGCGAATAGTTAAATAACAACCAAATAACATATTACCCACATCAATTCTAATTGAGCCTTGTTATTTAAATTTTTTAATAAAAGGTATAAATTTAATAAAACTGACATTTACCCTAAAAAATAAAAAACAAATAAATAAGACTGGCTCTTATTAATTAAATGTTTACCGTCTCGTTTTTGCATCCAAATCGGAGCCAGTGGCATGGGCCAAATCCTCCACAATGTTTGGTGAATTTGGAGGCCCCATAACCTGTTCATCCCCAAGAAATGAAAGAGAAGGATTCTCATGTGTTTTCAACACATTTCTTGCTTGAAATAAAATTTCATGGTCTTCAGTGACATTGGGCTTATTTTTATTGCTAGTAGGGGCCTTAGGTGGCAATTGAAGAGCAGTGAATTGCTTGTCATTGGCCAGTAAGTTTGTGAAGGCTTGGTTGGCCATAGTCTTGGAGGAAATGCTCTTGTATTAGTCGTATAAAGAGAATGCAATTTAATTAGCACAAAACAAACAATTAGAATACTTAGAAACAAGAAAATTAAAAGAGAAATAAAATAGTAAAAGTTTTGAAATGTTATTCTCAAAACATTTAGAGGAAGAGTTGCAAACCTATGGTGAGGTTAAAGAGAAATCTATACGAGATTTGGTTGTAAATTCATAAAGCTTGGATGCCCTTTTATACAGTGGTTGGTCCGGTGCTGAACTGTTCTTGGATTATCTCCAACCAATTTGTCTTTGCTATAGAGATATTGACCCTTTGATTTATATCTGATGGTTGTAAAAATTGAAAATATAAAAAGAATATTTTTATAATTGGTTATAAAAATGAATATTTTGCTGGAGGGACTTCACGGCTGCAGAGGATCCACATTCATTCTCATCTTATTTACCATGCCGAGTTTCATCAATTTATAGAAAATCTAAGTAAATATGGTAAAATTTATTTTTTAACAAAATAGTATTTTACGATATGAATATGTACAAGGCAATTTATTTGATAGTAGAGACAGAAAAGTAACAAATCTCAACTATTGATGCAAGCCCAATACAGGTAGGCCCAAAATTGCCCAAAACCAAATCAAGAGCAAAAGCAAGTCAAGTTAGCATCATGTTAAACAAAGGACGAATTATGACATCTGAATGGTATTGTTTTAATAATAACATATATACGCTTTTTAAGAAAGGTCAAGCGCTTATAGATGACATTTCATATTTTCATCTCAAACAAATATAAATATATTGTTTTTACAAAGAAAGGAACAAATTATACCTATGGTCTATCTCAACACAATAGCCTTAAATGTATTATTTAATGTTCCTAGATATTTTTTATTTACTTTTATTATCTTTCTTAATATTGTCTTTCTTAATAGAATACAAAAATTCTAGTTTCTTAAGAATGAGTGATACCTTTTAAGGATATAAATTGTTTTTCAAATAGAAAAGACAGAACTTGCTCCTTAAAAGATGTGGTTAACATAAAAGTTATTTTTTTATTGACACACAAAATCTTCCATTTCTTTTAATAGAAAAATGTGATATGTAACCTCTTAGATTAGATAAGAAGTAATAATTTAGTTACATATGTATTTAGGCTACCTATAAATATTAGGCTTGATAAATAGAGAATCTAATTACAAAATTTGTAATCTTTGCAAGTTTTGTCTCTTGTAACAATCTCTTAAAAAAATTTCTCTCTTGTACTAAATGGTTATGTAATGTCTTAAAGAAAATGATAGTTGTTTGTATTATCCTACAAGTTTTAAGCAAGTAGTTTAGATGGGAAACTTAAAGAGTCTTTGTTTTTTTTTTTTAAAATACTTGGGTTCATTAAAGCCTAAAGAGGCTTTGAATGAAACAATACTTAAGTAATTGCTTAAAGACACAAGTCAAAGGCTATTTAGGTTGAGCTAAAAATAACATGAAAAAAATCATTGTAGCTTTATAGTGGAACTTGATCAAAACTGAACACAGTCTTAATGATTGAGACAAATTATTAGTATAAAACCTTTTGTCTCCTTATTTTGTCTTACTCCCTTAGTCTATCTCTTTATATGCAGTGCTTGCAAAAAGTTGTTGAAAATTTTAATAGATACAATTCAACCCCTTTCTTGTGTGTGTTTTAATTCCACCACTTGGTATTAGAGCTTAGTCTTATACAAGGTTAACCATCTAATAATGCTAAAGGAAAAAAATCCTCATATGACAAATAATGAAGGGCAATATCTTTCAAAAGGAGCTTCTTTGAAGGTCTTCTACTTTCAATTAAGATTAAAAAAAATGTACATTAAGTACACCAAATACAACATATGGAAAATAATCATATATGGAGACATCCTAGTTCTCAAACCTGAAAATAATTTCACTTAAGAAGACTATAATGTATTACAACTTAACACTTAAGTTAGATACACCATAGCCTATTCACTATCCATAATTGAGTACAACAAGTTTTATAGTTGTAAAATTGCAAAGGAAATGTGGGACAATGTCAAAATAACTCGTGAAGGAACTAAGACGCTAAGCTCAAAAGAGCTATCACTCTTTAAAGACACTATGAGTTATTTTCCATGAAAGATGTTGAGACCATAAACAAAATGTTTGAAAGATTCCAAACTAATCTAAATGGTGTGAAAGCTCTAGGGATTGAGATCATAAGAGCTCAAAATAATCTTAAAATCCTTGACAGGTTTTCAGAGTTGTGGAAATCCAAAGCTACAACTATCTTAGAAAAGTGTACAAATGAGAAAAAGATGAAAAAGATTTTGATGGCTTCTTAAGAAGATCTAAACAACAATAGTAGCGATTCATACAATGAAAATGCTAACATATGTTTGATGGAAGATGCAGATGAAACAAACTTAAAGGTAAAACTAGTTTTAAAATATTTAAGGGATTTGTATAATTATTCAAAGAATATTTAAATATTTAAGAAAGAGATAAACAAAAGTTCATCTTCATATTTTAAGAATGACATAGGGTTAAAAAGTTAGCAAACTTGAAAAATAGTTTGTTAGAAAGTTGAAAGGGAGGATATAGTAGAATACAAGTCAACATATAAAAAGATTAAATATCTAAGTGGGGGAGTCAAAGGATTTTCATTATTTGTGGAGAAAAAAAAAATATACTAGAAGGAGGTTGAATAATGTCAATAAAAAACTCAACACTTCTTGAAAAAGTGAAGTAGTATCCATAAACCTCATAAGTGTAAACGAAGAGTTTAAGAAAAGAACACATAGTAATTTTATATTGATTTGTCTCAATCATCAAGATTACGTCCAATTCTTGATCAACCTAATCAAGTTTCACTATCTTTTACAAAGATATAAAGTATTCTTTCACAAGTCACTTCTAGCTTAACCTAAGTGTTCTTTGAATTGCCTTTTTAAACAACTACCTAAGTATTCTTTGAACATAAAGCCTCTTCAAACTTCAATAACCAAGTATTCTTTCATAGTTAAGCTTCTCAAGCCTCGAAGCAATAACACAAAATTAAAGTTGAGAAATCACTTTTTTATTTCGTCTTACTATCAAGACCTAATACAACCAGTTTAAATACAAGGCATTTTACAGAAAGAATGAATAATAATTTTTACAATTGATGTTGTCTCTTCTTTTCTACCGTCTAAATTTTCTAGTTTTTTTAATAGGTGCATCATGAAGATGATCATTACAAATTCTTGAGTATATCTCACAGGTTTTCTTCGTATATCTTCATCTTCGTTCCTTGTGAAAAGAATTGTCCATTGGTACATGTGGGCATTAAATGTGTTTCACTAAATTGTTACTTCTTATATAATCTAAGAAAGTATTTATTACCTTTAAGGTACCAAACGAAAGGATTTGTTGCATTTGTCAATCAGAAATGATCTTTTTTGAGACTTTGCATGCTTCAAGGGATTTGCTTGTCCTTTTATTTATTTATTTATTTTTATGTAAAACATGTCTGTGTTCCTTTTTGTAACTAGTGCAAGTACCGAAGAAATTTTTTATTCTTTTCAATTTATTAAAAAATAATATAGACAAATATAATTTGGTTATCAAATATCATAAATGATATATATTAAATAGTTTTGCTTTATCGATGAAATAATTTGTTTGAGAGACTTAATGTTTTCCACAATTTAACTTATAGTATGATCTGAAAAACTTTTCTATTGAAAAACGTTTAAACTTGTTATCATTAAAATTTATAATGAAAAATCCAAAATCATCTTTTAATCTAATATTATTTAAAACATAAAATTAAACTTTTAATTAATTTTGTCATAGCATGTATATTAATGTAGAGTCTATGCAACGATGGACACGCTCATAAAGGCCCAAATATCTAAAAACAACCCATAATAGACAAGTGAAAAGGTGGATGTCAGCAATAACATAAGATCCTTATATACCAATTTAGACTCAAACAAGCATTAAACATCAACAAAAGTTTCTATAAGTTAGCACGGGCATGAACAATTAATTTAAGAACAACTACTCTAGAAGATGACTCGAAGCCAACACATTATTAGATCTAAAGTAAATTTTTAATTTTAAAGTGAAATTTTATAGAATTAATAATAATATTTATAATAAAAAATAAAACTATTTTATAGATATATAGACCTTAAAAAAATAATTTATTTATATATCTTTTAGAGATATACATTTTAAAGGGGTCTTAAGTTAGCAAGGACTTTGTTGGTCTCGCCCTTGATTGACCCTCAACTTTAACAAAATATGATCTATAATAGTGAGTTTAGATGAAAATTTTAAATGAAATAATTCATTTTTTTATTAAGAATTTCAAATGTCTTGTAATGAAATATTTTGTTTAAACAAAAAAATTTACAAAGAATTTGACATGCAAACATTTGTAAAATTTTTTAAAACAGTAAAATTTCAAATTCTACCTAAAAAAGTAAGGATTTGAAATTCTTCATATTTTTTTAATTTAAAATTTAAATTTGAAAGTGAATTAATTAAACAATAAAATAAAATATTTAATATTAACAAGTTTTTGATTCAAGTGAAATTGAACTGATCAGTTTCTTTAAATAAGAGATTTTGAATTCCAACTAGTAGATAAATAAAAAAATTGAAAGATACAATTTTATTAAAAGTGACCAACTAAATTTCTTCACAAAAATTTATCATCGATCGACAAAGTGGATGAATCGGTAACATAACTAAAAAATAAAATAAAAATCTAATAAAATTATATTAAATAACTTTTTTTTGGGTGTGAAATCAATCTAGTCCTCGCTGTGCAAAGTATATTTTCCACTTCCACTTCCTATTGATAAAATCCGATATAGAAGCAATATATCCCACATATATGCTAAAT